AGATGGAGTCTGTCAGGTCCCCATGTGTTTTGCTAGTTTGGAAGCTGCAATGTGGGAAACTGCCTGTGATGGTCACATGGGGAATCTGCGTGTATGGACTGGGGAGTGGGAGCCAGCGAGACCTTTGGCATTGCTCTGTACGTCAGTACAGCAAGCATCAGGACAGCTCAGAGCATCACCTATTGCAGGGTGGCCTCAGCCCGGCTGTGGCCTCACCACAAGGAAGATTGAGTCTTTGTAGACCTCATTGAAAAGATGCAAGACCAGCACATTTAGTTCAGAAAGACCATCAAGCTTTTTCCAGCCAGTTTGGGAGCTTGAGTCCCTCCAAAGGACCATGTTATCTGCCTGTTTCACCACGCTTGGCCTCCATCGGTAGAGATGTACAACCACTTACGGTGATGCTCATGATTATGGGCATCCAGCCCAGTGCAACGGGGACCTCCAGGACTGGCTGCATGACTCTAGCTCAAAGAGCAGATGGTCAAGGCAATGGTGCAGATGTTGACCCCAAAAGCATGGGGGTATGATCCTGCCTGCAAGTCAAACATCAGTCACGGTACTCATCCATGCTCCCAGCTCTGCTGCTGCCATGCCTGGGCTGGGAGCAGGCGGGGGAGCGAAGGTAGAAGCTTGAGGCGGGTTGTTTCTTACAGCAAATATTTAAAAGCAGAACAAGACTAGAAAATCCCTGTCTTTTGGTAACGAATCCCCTGTGTAACAGTCTTAACACCCAGACGCAACATGCCTGTGGAATTCCTGAGATTGTTGCAAACTGAACCCTTCTTTCCCACCCTGAAATTTCACAGCGATTTACCTCTCCAAGCTGTCAGGGATCACCGTTTCTAGGCACCGAGGGGGATTTCGCATCCCTTGTCTGTTTTCTGCAGCCTGCGGTGCTATTTTGGAAATTCTCTCATTTACTGCGTGGTTCAGCTGAGTACAACTGCTCCTTTGGCTAAAATCATCCTCTGCCTGTCATCTGGTAATTAGAAAGCGCCGAAAAGCCAGCGGTGCTTATAAGGCAGCTCTGGGATAACCACAGCAGCTTTTTCTTTTGTGGATAAAGGACGGGGCTTTGGAAGCTGTAGACTTTTCCACTGAAATCAGATTTTGGTTTAAAAAGCGAGAGAAGTTAACACCGGGTGAAAAATGACACCCAGAAGCACAACAGCACTACAAGATGGGCAACGCTGCAAATGCAACGAGGTGGGTGAGAAAAGCAAATGCCATCTGTTGGAAACACCACGGGGGGAAAAGCAAAGATAATTTTGAGGCAGGGGAAACAAAAGAACTTTTAAAGCCCATCCCTCTGGGTTTTCCCAGTTCTTACTTGTGCCACAGCTCACGAATTCTCACAGTTCAGCTGGAGCTGGGCTGAGAACCTTGTGAAGAAAGCTGAAGTGAACTCCTGCTGCTGGGAGGACATCTTCACAGATGGCAATGCACTGAATTGCACCTCACCAGCTGTTTGTCCTGCAGCTGGCAGAGCTGACATGTCCCTCTTCCAGCAGGTCACTGGGATATCCCGCAGAGCCAGGGTGTCTGCGGTACAGGAAAGCTCCTTTTCCAAGTGCCACCCTTTCCTGTTTGCATGGCAAATAGAGCATTTCCTTGTCTGAAAACGGTCTGACAGACTCAGTATCTGGCATGTTGTTTCCTATGGAAATTATTGTGACCACGTTATCTGTGCAGGCTTCTTGGGATCCCTCTCCATGACATGCAACCTGGGGCCAATTTCAGGCCAACCTGATGAATGAAGATTTTTAAGATCTTGAAGTTGGGCAGTGGTGTAGCAAAGATATTCTGCTTCAGTACTCACTGTCTTATCCTTTTAGACTCTGTAAAGGATTTGTTTTTTCTCCCAAGGTTGTTACATAAACCCCTCCAAGAGCCACCCTGGAGGTCTGCTGCTCTGTTCAGACTCGACCACCCTTCCTTAACTTCCCTAGCTCAGCTGTAATCAGCCCAAACGCAGCCCACGCACCAACGTGGACCGTCACAGGGTGTCATTTCTCGACTCTGGCTGTATGTTCATGGGAGAGGTGGCATTTTCGGGGGCCCCATGTGCTCTGCAAAGGCACTACTTCAGGAGCGCTGGTGCAGAGCCTCCTGCACTCGCTGTCTGGGAGGCAGGACCAGCAGGTCATTTTCCCCAAACACCATATCTTATCCAGGGAAAAAGAAAGCAGGAGAAAGAGAGCGCTCTGTAGACTGCCTGATCTGGTTGAACGCCCTGTTCCCCTGATAAGTCTGCAAGGCTGATGGGGGAGGAATGTGATGCTGTCCTGCTGGGCTTTTGGTGGAGAAAACAAGTGGTAGCTGGGGCACCATCCTCCAGCCCCGTTCTAATGGGAGACATCCTAGTTCTCTGGTATTTTCATGAAATGTGCCTAGAGTGTTGGGGTCAGTGACCATCACAGCACTTTCCCTCCTCTTGACTGCAGAAGAAGTCCCAGCAGCTCCCTTCCCTTCTCTGCAGGGCTGAGGGAAAGGAAGAGGGATGCGATGGGAGGGTCTGAGCAGTGGGGCCATGGAAGGAAGGCTGAAGCAGGGCTTACAGGAGCCCTTGGTGCTTTCCCAATTGGATCCCATCAGCATCTTCAGGGTATGGCACCAGAGAGAGGTGACCTTTGCAGACATACCACTCCTGTCCTCTCTGCTCCGGACACTGAGTGAGGAGCAGATACCACGAGCCATCACGTATGAAAGCCCACAAACCCTGCACATAAAAAAGATACCAAGGGGCGGGGGCCCCTCCGGGCAGCGGCTGTGGGCAGCCCCTGTCATGCTGTGCACAGGGAAACTATAGGGACTGTACATGGCGCTAACAGCAGCCTAATACAATGATTGCTTGCTGTGAGGCACAGTTAGAGGGATTTCTTTACGCCCAGTGCAGGGACCAGGAGGGGAAGAGTCTCCAGCCTGGACATCACTGCCCCGGCAGATGGAGCCAGCTCTGGGCAGGCTTTGCGAAGGGTCGCTCCTCTCCCCTCTGGGCAGCATGTATGTCCACCACACTGCAGCCAGCTCAGGGTGACTGCTGCTCATCACTGCAGCTGATTTCCACCCAAAGTTGTAATGTCATTTTTGCAGCAGGCAAGACCATAAAGCAGCTGCCAGCCCCTCCACTCGTGCCGAATGGCAGAGGAAACTGCAGCCCTACAGATGGGTGCTGAAACCTCAGGTATCTGCATGAACCTCCTGGCTGGTTGTGGGGAGAAACTTTTCCTTGTCTGGCTCAGAGATAAGCAGGCTTTAATCAAAACAGTTCAGCAGAGCAGGGAGAGGGGAGCAGAGCAGTCAGAGAGTGTGGATAGCGTAAGCTGCAGTCCAGACATCAAGGACGAGCAGCCTGGTTTATAGCAAGGCAGACTGGAGTTATCCTCTGTGGGCACAACATCGCTGGTCCTGCCTGCCAGTTTGGCAGAGAGCAGGCGCCACAAAGACTGCTGGCTCCCAGGCCAGCTGTGCCACCACGTGCCATCCAGCTCCACACCAAACTGATGGCACGCGTCCTCCCCCAGCCCACTGCCACCAGAGCAGAGCCACCGGGCAGCCAGCTGCTGATGGATGCACTGGCCATGCCCGGGAGGAAGCTGAAAGCAAGAAATAATAACTAACATTGGCAAACACCAGCTCAGACCAACAAGGAGAGGGGCTAGAGACAGGGATTCAGTTGCTCACGCGGGACCCCAGAGGTGCCACGCTGTGCATCCACATGCATTGGCACAACACAGACATAGGCTGAGATTCTGGGCCTTGGGTCTGGAAACTTCCTGCCACTGGGAGACTTTAATGTAAGAAAATAATGCAGTGATGTTGTACATCTATTTTTTAGCTTTCCTTAAATTAGAAAGTGATAAAAAGTGTCTGCAACATGTTCCTTGAAGCATCTCCAGCCCCAGCAAATGCATTTACAGAAACTACTTGTGCTTTAGAGCAACGGTAGAGAAGGACTTGGAAGTACCAAACCTCTCTAGAAAAGAATAAATTGGAACTATGTCAAAAGTAATCTCAATGTACAAGTATGAAAAATCTCTTAAATAGAGAGTAACCTTTTCCTTCAAACTGTAGTTGGTTTTCCTTTCTGTAGAACAAGTCACATGTAACTGGTAGGCATGGGAGACATTCCCCAGGCAAAACAAGACAGCAGACAGGGACGGACACATGCAATCTTTTCACTGGGCTGAAAACCTGAATTAAATGGATGGAAGCTGGGCAAATCAACAGTATAGCCCATAACACTGGTCACTGGGCTGAGAAATTAGAGACCTTGGAGAGATTCTCTCCTTCCTCCATGCCCTCTGCATTTCTCATCAGCCCACACATCCTCCTATTGTGTCTGCGGGTGCAGGCAGCACCCAGGGATCCTGCCCAGCATCAGGGCCCCTTGATGCTATTACCTATTTGGTTGAAATTTTGTAAGTGGGCAGGGAAGGGGGCAAGAGGAACACTTGCTAGGGGAAGGGATTGATCTAGGTGTCCTGAGCTGGGCCCAGGGTGCAGAATGATTCCTCACATTCATATGGTCAAGTAGTGCCCTAAAAGCACTGTACTAAACCTAGGTTGGGTCTGCATTCCCAGCTCCTACTTGCAATTTAGTTGGCCTGTGAGCTCAATCATGTTGCTGAGGTCCAGTGGCTTTGGCCTTGTGGCCCCATCTAGCTCAAAAGGACGCTTGGTTATCCTTGACTTACAGGGGCTGCAAGAGTCTCTTCTTCCCAGAGCTTGCATCCTAAATGGAACGTTTGTCTGTTCTGTGATGGAGACATCTGCCAGTACAGAGATTCCCTGAATCTAAGGGACATTCAAGCTCAGTTCTCCTGAGACATGCCCCTCAGGCACAGGTTGCAGTCAACTTCTAAAATAGGTACAATTTCCTGGGAAACCTGTCTTACATGTAATGGGCAGTTTCCCATCTCTCAGAGCCATCTCTTTTAGAGAAAACCACTTAAAGCAGTACAAAGACACACGAGACACATAGACATGCACTGAAAGATAGAAGCAGCGCCTCAATTTACTGTGGGACTAGAAACAGCATATAACCTCCTCCTCTAGATTTCTCCCCTTCTAAAGCCCAAGATGCAGCTGTCTCCTCCTGCCAGCCCTCTGCTTTCCGCCATCTGGCAGGGTAGTAAAGGTCAAATAACAGAGCAAGTTGGAAGATATGCAAACAGTTAAGCCATCTTTGTGCTGAAGTCATGTTTGAGTTCCTGCAAAATAAATAAATACATAAATCAATAAAAGGAAAAAAAACACCAAGGCACAGAGGAGAGACCGTTATACCAAGATGCCCTCTGCTGGTCACAGGCCAAAGGCAAGCCATTCGCTTTAGCTCCATGACAGATATTTCCAACTTCCCTCCCTCCTTTTATAGATGAACAGCTGAAAACGTTCCCTATGGAGGAAAATGCGCTGTGAAACCTAAATTTAGTGACAGCTAAAGTGATCTAGCAGTAAACCACTAGCGAGGGCAGTCCAGCCACTCCTCTCCTTTGTTTCGGATCTTGCGATCCTTGGGTAAATCAAATACCTTCAGTTAAAATCCAACAGGAAAACAAAAGCATCGAGAGAACTGTCCTGCCAGGTCGGCCAGCTGAACTGACTCCTTGGCCACCTTGATGTGATATAAGAAAAGTGGTGAGAACCCAGGGCCACAAAAAAAGGGACATATCCACAGTGTTTGACACTGGCTCTGCTGTAATGGTTAACTTTTGCAGGCATTTGAGGCAGAGTCCACAAGTCCCTGCAAGTTGAAAACAGCTCCTGCAGTCAATCCTACGAGCTGAAAACTATTTGAGGCACTAATCAATTCAGAGTATATTTCTCTCTCTGTTTTAGACAGCAATGTTATTTGATTAAAGCTATAATTTTAAACAACTTTTAAGAAGGATTGAGAGCTTGCTCAAATGATACAAATTGCAGATATTAAATGTTAAGTCAGTCTATTAAAACAATACGGATCTATCGCACACACACCCCAGTATCAGCTCAACTCTTGCTTGTATCAGTTTAATTCTGGCTGGTGTAAATCCCTGATTTAATTTACTGACTGGGAATTAAATCAGCATGAACTGGTTTCCATGCATCTGTGCTGGGTATTTGTGATGATAAAACTAGACCATTTTAAAACAATGTCATTGGATTAGAAAGCTCCACTGACAGAAACAAGCTCGTAAGAGAAGCAATATAATAATCTCAGACACTAAAGTACAGTACATGCAGCGAGTGGGCAGCCCTCTCCTCCCACTTCATTTTGTAGAGAGACTCTTTCTCAAAAGAGTTTTGTACATGTCCTCACAGTGCTGGGTCTCTAGGAAAACCAACAGGCTGCAACAATCAGGTTGTCTTTGGGACAGATGTCCAGTTGGCCGGGGGCTCTGTGCACTGGGAGCTATTCTGAAACCCATCGTTTTCTGTCCATGAGGGTAGCAGGGTGCTGCTCTTTTCCATCCTCAAGTTTAGTGGAGGATTAACAGTGATATCAACAGAATCTAACAACCAAGCCCCTGCATCACGTACCCACAGGGGTCTTTGTGTCCCATCGCCCTCCCTTGTATTGTTGGGGGGGCCACCACTCTCTCTGGTCAGCTGGTGGATGTCTTTGGGATTTGTTTTCATGCATGATATGTTCTGGCAAACTCCAGGTTCACCCGGGAATGGCACAGAGGCTGTGTTCTACCTCTCCACCACAGCCATGGTTGGGATAACATGGGCTTTGCAGAGAAGCTAAGGGGTCCCACACAGAAATGGTGCTGGCTGTATGCGGTCCAGCTGCTTCTCTGATATGTGGGGTTTGCTGCAGCTGGACCTGCAGGTTTTTTCTACTTTGTGATTCCCAAGAAGCAGCCTGTTTTACTGGGAGAGCTGGAAAAAGCTCAGCTCTCTCTCTTCAGCATTTCATACACTGATAATATACCTAGCCTCCTCACACCAGGCCAGGCTACTACGCAGACTTCTCCCCAAGGTAGGAAGCGTTCTTTCCAGTCTTCTTTAGGGTTTCCAACAGGGTGTCAACGTTGTGCTCCGAGTCAATGCACACCTTCTTGTTGGGCAGGTCGATATCAAACTGGACACCTATGAGGAAATGAAAAAAATTTTGCACAGCTAGAAGCAGTTAAATGGTGTGAGCACGGGGAAAGCTCACCTTCACACATTTGTGCTCCCAAGGCCATCAGTCAAATGTATGTGTGTCTCCTGCCAGCAAACCCTGATATCACTACCAGCCAGCAAAACCAAACTGGTGTCCTGTGAGCAAGGAAGTCAGATCTCCTATAGATCTGCATCGGGCACCACAGTTTCTCGACTGCTCTCATCTGCTTACCTCACCTTGGATCAACACAGTCACTCATGCAATAATGAGCTGAGTTTAAACCAACCACTAAAATCTCCAACCAGCTCAGCCTGTGTTGTGGTTTAGCACGGACAGGCACCAACAAGGGAGTTAGCACAGGGGTTAGGACAGGGTCAGAAGAGGTTTCCTCAGTGGGGGTATCAGGTAACAGCTGTAAGTAGAAGGAGCGAAAAGACATTCCTGTGTGTATTTCCCAGTAGTTAATAAGGGTGAGCCACTCGCATCCCAGTGAAAGGAACTGGACAGGAAGTCTCTATCCAGCCACATATTTTCATAAAACTTGTAGGTATGTATCAGCTTTGAGAGCTCTGCCATATCATCACATGAGGCTGATGTTGGCCAGCTGCTGAAGAGTGACACAGGTGCTGACGACCACACACAGAGGAGGAGGGATCGTCACAGCCTGGTAATCAAGTCTGGAAGAAGATGCAAGGCCTTCACCTTGGTGACTGAAAGCTGTTCTCATTCGGTGAGGACAGGGGAGAAGGATGACAGGCCTCACAAATGGTGAGTGCAGGCTAGATCCTTCTTTCTTGGTAATGCCAGCATAAAGGAGGCATGGGCTATAATTTTCTGGGTGGTACTGAAAACAGGCTATGCAGGCAACCACCAATGCTCTGCTCAGCAGCTCTTCACTGTGACTGCTGATGACACATCTAGTGAAGTACCACAGATACCCCAGGCCTCCTTGGGAACAACACCTGGCAGGACCTCCACCTCCCTTCCTTCTGGCAGCCTGAGCTGGGGTCTACCAGTGTCATTCCCAGAGGGTTCAGGATGAGGCCCTGGTGATTCAGAGACACCTGCAGCCATGGCAGCTCCTCCCTCCCTTGACATATCTCCATGGGTCACCAGAGTCCTGCTAACAACCAGTGACTCGGTACTGACTAAGCAGCAGGCTCAGAGCAGAGCGGGGAGCAGAGGTTGCCAACCAGCCACTTTCGGCTTTTACTCACAAGACAGAGGACCCCAGGGCAGTGACATCCCCCCCAGAGCTGGCGTGGCTCGGGCAAGCTGGCTGTCACACACCCAGCACTGACTCACCTCCCAGCCGGTGCAGGACGCGGGTGACTGCGTTGGAGCAGCCTTCACAGGTCATGTCCACAAAGAACTCGTGTTTCTGAAAAGAGACAGACAAGGGGTCAGGGAGGGCGCAGCTGGCAACACACCATGAGCACTCCTCTTCTACATTTGTCTTTTTCTTTGAGGAGGTGGGTTCAAATCCTCCCCAACCAAAAGGTCCACACGCACCACTAAGGGATCTTTAGCAAAAGTGAGAGCTCTCAGTGCTCCTCCCCACGGTGTCCTTGTGCTGTCCCTCATGGCATAACCCCAGGGGGCTTTGGGGACTGTCTGGCCCCTACTCAGAGCAGGGCCACCGTCAGGGTCAGCGCCGGCTGTGGGCCTCTGCCGGATTTACTCCACTAGCCCAGGAGAACCCGGGAAAACCAGGTCTCCTGCCTCCAGCTCCCCACTGTCCTGACCTAGTCTGCAAGGTTGGCCTCTGGTCCCCAACATAATAAACTTATAATAATATCAGCAAAACCAAAACTTAGGAAACGTCAGCGCTGTTTTTTCATCCCATCGCTCCCCAGGGGCCTCGGTGTTATCTTCATCACTCGTGACAGATGCTGGGTCAACAGAAATGTGCTTCCCTGTAACTAATCATCACGTTCAACCTTTGGCACCAGATGGATCCTAATTTCTTTTTCTTGCACACGCTTTTTACTTTCCTTAAAAAAGAAAAGTAAAGCTGTTGTTTCGATTTTTTTACCTGCGAGTCTTTTTGTTCAAAACCGCCCTGGCACAACTCACTCTGGCAAGGAGTTCGGGAATGGCAGTTCCCATTAGGATTTTCCAGTATAATTAGTATTTTTTTTAATTTTTATTTTACAAATGCCCTGTGCGCTCTGGGGGCCGGGGTGAGGGAAGGAGGGATCGGGCCGGGGCAGGAGCGGTCCCAGCGCCGGGATCCCCCCGGGGCCGGGGTGCGGGAAAGAGGGATC